CGTTTATAGATCAAAAATCAAACTCCCATCATTTAAACTCCGCAATCATACTGGGTAACACATACGACACTTATCGAACAGTTTCACGCTGTGGTTAGCTAAGCTTGCCACCTAAAAACAAAAAGATCTAAAGATTCCGGAATCGTGCAAATAATGGCGAAGGTGTTTCTCCGAACACCGAATTGCTTCTTGCAGACGGGCTCGAGTATACCAAAGTTGAATCTCTCCACGGCCCTGATGAGCCAGCCACCCCCGAACTTCGGCGTGTCCCAGGTGTCTCCGGTCTCGATGTCGGCGCTGGTCTCGGCGGTAAGGTCTCCCGTTGGCGGTCAGCTGCCATCCTCCGCTGGTGGAGCACCCATGCCACCGATTCCCAACATGTCCAACATGTCCGGTATGCCACCGCTGCCGAACATGCCCGGCAGCATTCCCACCATGCCGACCATGCCCAGCATGGCGGGGCCCATCAGGCGGCGCATCAGCGACAAGTCTGCCCTTTCACTGGCAGGAGGTAAGGCTTTTCGTTACTCTCTATAATACACGTGTCTTCCAAACGTATTTCTGACCGCAGTTCGCCGAGGATCGATCAGGAATATGAAACTATACGACGATCGAAGGATCTTTTAGCTATCTTTCCATCGTCTTTGGACGGTGTTGAAAATTCTGTACGAAGGTTCTTCCGTTTTACCTGCGATGGGGGAGAATGGTTCGCGTTGGTATTGTTTCTTTTTATTATTTGCTTTCCATGAGTTGTGAGACGATGAATGTTGAATGCCCTGACTTTATGGAACTAACCCTTTCAGACTTGGCGTCCACAAGCGAGGACACAAAATTTGATAAGACTCTTACGGTATCGACAGTATTATTTAGGGCGAATGTTCTAATTTATTAACCGACTTCGAAAAAGGAGAAGGTTATTCGATTCAGCCTGCATTTTTTTTTTTTTTTTTTTTTTTTTTTTTTGCACATGAAGAAGGAGTTCTTTTTTATTTTTTGCTATACTAATTTTTATCCAACCCCAAGATTAAATTGCATTAGTAAGAGGAAGAAAAGTAATTCAGGTCTGAAAGGGTTAAAATAATTTGTTCTTAGCATCGAATGGTGATCAAAGCGGAGTGATAGCATCTTTGTGTTTGGTTACTTCAATGTTGAAGTCAGTATGTGGCATTGTGAAATGAAATTTTTAACGTTATAGAGATAAAGATAAAAGATTACATTCTTCTGAAACGCTCTAAAAATGTCTATTACTTTAAAAATTATTAAATGAACGACAATAGTGAGCCCTTCAGAAATTAGTGTCTCATAGACTCATGGATGGCAATCTACGACGAATGTAAAAGCTGCAAGTTGTGCACAAAAAGCAGACAAATCTGTCTTCGTATGAAAAATATTAACATATCGAATCCAGTTTCTACAACCACTTCGTGTATCTTCTTTTTGCGACTCGAAACCATTCTCCCTCGTATAAGTCTTCACTGTATACGAGATGAGACTAATCGCTGTTTGGATGAATGGGTTAATACCGTCTCGAGAAAGGTGAAACGAAAGACTATGTGAATTCAGAAATTGAATACTATTCGTAGGACTGTATGACGAGGGCACTGTAAGGCGCAGAGTAGCCGTCGATAGATCTGGAATAGATATTAACGAAGGTAACGATTTAAACAAAATTCAGTCGGGGAGACGCGCGACCCGTGAAATGCCTCCTGAACAAATCTTCGCGTCTGATCTTTTCAAAAACAAAAAAAGAACCTCTTTTCAAGACTCTCGAACAATTGAAACTAAACAAAATTCTATCAAAACAGCTACGTGATTTCATTAAAAAAGGGGGTGAATTACGACTAAAATTGATAATTACTGAATTCGAAGCATTTCCCGGCTCGTCCTTGTCAAATGCGCCCCGACAAATTAAAAAAACTAAAAAAAAAAAAAACAAAGAAAATCCTGTAGCAAATGCTCTTTACGGTCCTCTCTTGATCTCGTGCCTTCTTCCTATCGTAAAACTCTACCACACGCACAGATTTACTCACGGTAGCGACAATGTCACAGTGTGAGGTACAGTGTTCGACACCTTGTTGGCGACGTAGGACGAACAAATAGGTAGAGTGCAATAAAAGGCGCAACGAAATTAACGAGAAACGAACGAGTAAAAGAATGATCAATACGAGAAAATAATGAATTTTAAAACGTATGTTTGTTCGAACCTCTTTCTTACCGATGCTTCTGTTGTTTCCTTATTTCTTGTGCTGCCCGCCCTCCCCACCGTGTAGGGCTGCCCTACATGCTGGAGCGTGCTGGCCTTGACGTCCAACAAGGTACTGTCAACCTTCTTTCCACGCTCCTTTGGTGGCTTTAAGGATTTTCTTAAAGGGTGCACCCTTGCATGCCGGAGAACCCTACCTTTCTCACCCCCTGTCTTTTCCTTCTCCCTCGTGAATTCAACCTTGACCATCTGGATGCTTCTGTCGTTGTTCAGGCTAGTCCACAGAGGTCCTGAAAATGATTTGAAGTAGATCTATTGGACCAATGGATATACAGTTATTCTCATAATTATTCCTCTATGAAAGAAGTTTCTCTGACTTAAATAAAGAATTATAAAAAATCTGAACGTGCAAGAAACTATAGAGTAGACACAGTAGCCAATAATATAGAACATATTGAAAGTAGAGTTCATATTATAATACTTGCATAAATATGTACATGGAGAAACTTTACACTTGCATATATACAGTCAGTCCTATAAGTATTCGTAACCTTTATGTCCATTGAAAGAATTTGTATAAATTAAGTGACAGGTCTGATGCTTCCAAACAGATTTTTTGGAAACAACAAATCTGTTATTCAATATTTATGGGACTGACTGTATATGGGACACTTCAAGGGTTCATCGTGTATAAAAATTGAATGGTAAAGGCAACTAGGTGAATTTAAATTTAATATACTTTATTTGCATTCTATATTTGATTTCTATTATTTTTATTATTTGAATTCGAATTCATAGCTAAATTCTAAATACATGAATGTTTACTTTAAATCATTTTGAGTCGATTTTTGCTTCTGGAGACTGGTCCAGTTGACGAAGTTGAGTCTCGAACTGGAAGTATCCGCCTAATCCTAACATCTCCCATCGCTTTCTGCTTACCCTTTGATCTAGTTTTAAGGATGTCGCTCGCATAATCTGACCCTGTTTTTCCGAGCATGTGACCGAAACCATTTCCTGTACTCCCACGTACTTCTTGCTCATTGCGATACATTTATTTATTATTCAAAATCGGGTCATTTACGACGGACTTTCATAATACGGATTCCTTGACGAAATTTCTCTGGGTCTCACGAAATAAATTTCAAATAAACTTCATTAGTGATAATAGTGGTAAAATGATAAAATTATTTGTATTGAAGTAACTCATGATTTACAATTCACTTTATAACGAAGAATTCAATAAATTTCTTCCATGTATTCAGCAGACCATTCTGAAGAAAATACAGTCAGTCTTATAAATATTCGTACCCTCTGTGTTTATCGAAGGAATTTCTCTAATTTAAATAGTAAGTTGATGTTTATAAATAAATTTTTCATTACATACGTGGGGCATTCCATTTCGACCACTTTTGGACTCGACTATTTTTGATTTGGTTGAAACTTGTTTATATTATAGTACCCCACTAAATACCTTCTTGTCAATTTTGCAGATTTTTGATCATACGTATACTCTTTAGGTGTATTTCAGTTTGCTAATCAATTAAATCAATTAAGTCTAGCTTGTACTACAACTTAAGACTTACCTGCAACTAATTAACAAATCGAGATTGACCTGTACCATACGTAACACTTTTTGATCGGTATAACCTGCTGAACACGTGGATTTTATCGAACCAATTTTATCCAGCCATATACCCCGTGTACATTCGTTTAAACAAAATTTTCCACATCGCCGCATCATTCATCCCTTCAATCGACGTTCAATTCGCGCCACGCCTCTAGAATGTTTGCTTGTTTGTCGTGAACCCACCAATCAGACAATCCTCACGCACAAAACGAATGGTACCGATAAACTTACCCCTCGACAGAGTAAGAGTATCGCGAGCCAATCCTCGTCCGCCATTTCTAAAAATAAAAAAAAAAAATATGAAACAAACCCGGACTTGTTGGTATTTCAGAAATCCAACGAAATAGGGAATTTTACAAGAACGCCGACGTCCGACCGCCGTTCACGTATGCATCATTAATACGACAGGTGAGTGATTCATTCGATACGTTCCCACTGTGTACTAAATAATTCCGACGAAAACGAATCGTCCACTAATAGCATCCCTTGCAATCAATTTAATATCGAGGCGGAATACGGGTGAGATTGATCTTCCTCGTCGATTAAATTGGTGAAAACAGTGAAAGAACACTCTCACCATCGTCTTCCCGTTTTTTTCTGTTTCGCAGTCGATCATCGAGTCCCCGGACAAACAGCTGACGCTGAACGAGATCTACAATTGGTTCCAGAACACGTTCTGCTACTTCCGACGCAACGCCGCTACGTGGAAGGTATATCTCTTGACTTCAGTTAACATAAGCGTTTCAGCCATTGCAACGACGGAGATAATCCCACAGAACGCGACGACAGCCTTCCGTTGAAAGCTCTCTGAACAAGCTTTTGCGATCGCTTTGCAATCGTACAACAACGAAAAAAAAAAAAGGAAATTTCGGCTGCTAGATTCTTTCTCGAACGGCGATTCCGTGAATCGAAAATTCGTCATTCGGTCGACGAATAAATCACTAGAGTAATGCCACGTTGAAAAGTTGACCAGACGATTTATCGATCGAAGAAGATGGCGCGATTGGTCCCTGGATCCGGGGACCAATGATTCGGGAACCGAAGATCGCGTCCAGGAAGCCTGGATGTATGGTTCTCTAAATGGATGAGCTCAGCGTGGCACGGAGTTATGCAACGTTTGATTGCAAGTCACGAAGACGAGACGACTGGTCGTGCAATTTGCATTTACGAGCAAATTAAGCTGAATGCGTTTAACTAGAAGGGACGAGCTTTCAAGAATCTCAGATAATCTTACGTATTAATTTGAATTAACAGGCTGACCGATGCCGCCTAGCGGACGAGCTGGTAACGATTATTGTGTTGCTTTCCCGATTGAACGGGGGAGACCCGGTAACGTGTGGACTATTACAACGCATTACGATTCATTCGTGGAGTACACATCGTCGATGGTGTCTATTCAGGCTGTGTTATATCATTTCTTCAGGGGAGAGGTCGGGACTTGGACGAACGTTGCTTAGATGGGATCGAGCTTGAAACGTAGAATTTGAAATGGATTTTAATTTCGTGTGACTTTTAATCCTAGAATTTACCATGAGCAAGGTGCTTTCTGACGTTTACGGGGATTTGAGTTTTCGTAGACAAAATTTAAACAGATTTTCTTGGATGTATATTTTAATGGAAAACAAAGCGTAATTTTATATGATGTAAATATCGAACTTGACAGTTTGTCTGTCTGTTTGTCTGTTGTAGAAGTAGGGGTTGGTTGTCTGGTTAGAGTATTCAAGTTTCGGGAATAGAGATTTTAATATACAGTTTAGTTGTGTTAGTGTTAGATGTTGAGAACACTTTGTCTCATCTTGACGAAGTATTTACATTTTACACATTTTACATTTTACATTTTACATTTTACATTATTCACATTTTACATTTTACATTATTCA